CAACTCTACCTTGCATTGATTTCACTATTTTTAAATTTTCAATTTTACTTACTTTTGCTTTTTCTATTATTTTCTTCTGCTACCTGTAGGGTTAGTTTGCTCTTCTTTTTCTAGCTTCTTAAGGTAGAAATTTAAATGATTAACTTGAGACCTTTCTTGTTCTCTAATATAAAAAGCTCTAAATTTCCCTGTAACTACTTGCATTATAACCTGAAAATTTTGATATGTGGTTTTCATTTTTGTTCAGTTCACATTTTTTCTGATTTCTCTTATAAGACTATTTCTTTTATCCATGAATCATTTAAAAGCAAGTTGTTTAATTTTCAAGTATTTGGAAATTGTCCCATTAATTCTGTTAATGATTTCTAGTTTAATTGTACTATTGGCAGAGAGCATGCCTTGTATGATCTCATTTATTTTATGTTGTGGTTTTTGTTTTATGATTCAAGTTAATGATATGCATTAATTTGGTAAATTTTCCTTGTGCAATTGAAAAGAGGGTTTTAGTCCTGACCAGTGTGGCTTAGTTGGTTGGGCGTTGTCCCATAAAGCAAGGGGTTGCTGGCTCCATTCCCAGCCAGGGCACATGCCTGGGTCACAGGTTCTGTCCCCAGTTGGGGTGTGTTCGAGAGGTGACCGATCAATGTTTCTGATGTCAGTGTTTCTCTCCCCCTTTCCCCCTCCCTTCCCCTGTCTCTAAAACTACATAAATAAAATCTTTTTTAAAAAAAAAACAAAAAGAGGTTTTTTTCTGTTGTCATTGAGTAGAATTTTACTATAAATGTCAGTATGATTCACATCAATATGATTCACTTAGTTGATGTTATTCGGTTATTTTATATTCTTGCTGATTTTCTCTTTACTACAATTTATTACTGAAAAAGGATCGTTAAAGTCTCCAATTACAATTGTGAAATTGTCTTTCTCTTTTCAGTTCTGTCAATGTTTCCTTAATTTTGAAGTATTTGTGATTGAAGCCTAGACATTTGGGATGATCATGTTTTCTTGGTTAATTGAAACTTAATTATTATTATGTGATTTTCCTCTTTATTCATTTGTGTGTAATTTTCTTTGCTCTGTAGTCTACGTTGCCTGACATTACCATTGATGTTCCAGTTTTATTATCATTTATGTTACATTTTATATTTATTTCCATCCTTTTACTTTTTATAGAAAAAATAAAGAGTTCCTTTAGAAAGCATAGAGTTGACTGCTTTTGAAACTCTTTCTTACAATCTGTCTATTAAATGATGTATTTAAATAATTTATATTTAAGTAATTATTGGTATGTTTGGATTTCAGACTGTCATTTTATTTGGACTCTGTTTTTTGTTTCTCTTTCTCCTATCATACCAAAAACAAAACACTTTTTACTGTCCATTAAATTTTTTCTCCTGAATTTTTGATTATACAGCTTTGTACTTTTTTTTTGTGGTTGTTCTAGGAATTACCAAAATCATCTTTAACTTTTCACAGTTACAAAGAGTCAATATTGTAACATTCTACTTGAAGTAGAATGCAGAAAAAGGATCTGTGTCCCTTTCCCTCTTTGTTGTACGTAAGTATTGAATCTCTGTCAATCTGAAAACTCATCAGAAAATTATCATTTTTCTTTCTACCTGTTGAACACATTTTAGAGAACTCGAGAAGAAAACTCGGTAATATTTATTCAGCTATTTACCACTTTTCTTATTCTTTTATTCCTGTTATCCTGAGTTTTCTTGTGGCTGAGAACTTCCTTTAGTGATTTTTTTTAAAGAGTAATTCTTCTGGCAGCAAATTTCTTGGTTTTCCTCTATCCGAGAATATTTTTATTTTACCCTCATTCCTGAAAGATATGTTTCTGGTTATAGTAACCTGGATTTGACAGCTTTTTAAACAAATACTTTTAAACTGTTGTTCCAATTGGTCTTGGCCTCCTGGTTTCTGTTTATAAATCCCCAGTCATTCTGATTGTTGTTCCCCTGTAAATAATGGGTCATTCCCTCTAGCCGCTTTAAAGGTTTTTTCGTTGTCTTTGGTTTAGTGAGTTTGGGGTTAATATCGCTTCAAATATTTCTCAGTGCTGTCGTCCTCTTTACTTTCTGACTTTGATATGAATGTTAGACCTACTGGTATTGTCCCACAGATCTTGGAACTATTCATTTTTTTCTGCTTTTTTCCCCCTCTGTGGCTTACAGTGGATAATTTGTATTGACTACTGAAATTTCATATAATTTCCATGCGTCATAAATTTTTCATTTTTAACTGTTTAAAAATGCAAAAAACATTCTTAGTTCATGGTCCATGCAAAGACAGGCAGTGAGCCAATTTGGCCTAAGCTTAGTTTGCCACTTCCTGATTTAGTCCCACCACTGATGGATAGGATTAGAAGGTAGGTTTTAATTCCTTCCGTTTTCAGGCTGCCTTTTTTACCACAGTGTGGTATCTTTGAGGTCCTTGTTAAAAGTCTGGTGTATCTGATCAGGGCCCGTTCTCCTTGGCACAACCAAAATTCCAATTTTTTTTTTTTGCTTATTTTTTTTCTCTTTTGCCTATTGGCTTCTGCTTTCACAATCAAAATACTTAAGGTAAAAGTAGCCCCAAAAGATTTACTTGGCTTTTCTTTATCTAACTATAGCTTTTTAGTTCTTCACTATTTTAGAGCTCTGTTTCAGTGGTTTGCTCTGAACAAATTGAGTTTTTCAACTTTAAAATAAGAACTTTCTTGCCTGCCAGACTGTATTCTTTGATGACTGGCTTTTGATAATATGTGGAGGTGAAATTAACCCCCAAAGTGCTACTCAAATGAAAAGTAGCATTTTTTATCCTTGCTTATTTTTTAAAAATCAACTTTATTCATATATAGGTTATATATGATAAAATGTACATGTTTTAAAAGTATAGATCAATGAAATATCAAAAAGTTAAACATTTTTGTAACCCACAGTTTCTTCTTTGCCCTTTGCAGTCAACCTTCAACCCCTGCCTCAGGCAAACACTGCCACAATTTATAGTATTATAGATTAATTGTCCATCTCTAGAAGTTTATATAAATGGACTCATTATGTATGTATGATTGCATGCATGTATATAGAGTATATTAGCGCTTGTTAGCTCCACAGAATATTTTTGCAAAAACTCTGCTCTTGTTCTCATCCCTTGTAAACTCCTATGTATTGCTGAATAATAATTGTCTAAATATACCAAGATTTGTTTATCAGTTCTCCTTTTGCTGAACATTGGATTGTTTCTAGTTTTTGAATATTATAAATACAGCTGCCTACAACATTTTTGGTGGATGTTTTCATTTCTCATTAACACACCTACGAGTGTTAATTTCTGAATCATTAAGTAGATGTCTATTTAACTGTATAAGAAGCTGCCAAATTGTCTTTCAGATGGCTTGTATCATGTTACATACTCACTAACAGTGTATGAGGAGTCCAGTTTTTCCTCATCTTTGCAATCTTGTATTGTTAACCTTTCTAATTTTAGTATTCTCATAGGTGTGGAATAGCATCTAATTGTGGCTTGTATTTGTATATCACTGAGGACTAGTGATGATAAACATTTTTGATGTGCTTATTGTTTATTGCACATCTTCTTAAATTTTTTTACCCAAATTCTTAAATCAAGTTATTGTCTTGTTATTGAGGTATGAGTTCTCTCTATCGTTTACATACAAATTATCAGATATATGCTTTGCAAAAATGTTCTCTCAGATTGTAGTTTGCCTTTTCATTTTTTAAAAAATGATGCCTTTGAAGAACAAGTGTTTCTAATTGTGATAAATTCCAATTATTTGAGGGTTTTTTGTTAGTACTTTATGTGCCTGTCTAAAATATTTGTCTACTCACTTGGTTGTAAAGATATTCTATGTTTTATTTTAGCACCTTTATAGCTCTAACTTTGCATTTAGATTTAAAGCCTATACATGTAAACTGTCATTTTTTAAATCAGAATTGTTCCCTTTTTGATCTAACAGAGGATGGTGTTTGAGTGTCCTGTGCTGTTTCTGAAAGTACGTCAGATGGCTATCCAGGACATGTTAAGCTGTAGTTAGGTGGCTTTTCACTTCAAGATGTTTGTTTACTTGCTATATTTTATTTTATAGATCATAATTATATTTTGACATGTGTAATGGGGGAATACTGTATTTTAACACTAATTAAAATTAAATTCTGAATAAAATGTATCACTCCAGGATTTTCTTTTCCTTCTCCCTGTCTCTTCCCTGCATACTTCTGTTTTGCCTTCCCTCCTTTTCTTTCTTCTCCCCACAGCTTTTCCTTATTCCTTGCTTCATTCCTTTTTCCTTAAAAAAATACCTGTATGCCTTTATAACATTACTATTTATGTGTTTAATAGCTGAGATTTTTAGGTGATAAATTATTCCCTTAGTAGTAATTAGTTCTTGAAGTCAGATAATAGGATGCTGTTTTATAATGGCATGTTTGCATCAGTGGTCTCATGTACCATAGTTTTGCTTCTTTATTACACTGTGGGAAATTACTTAGAAAAGATTGAGACTACATTCAGAGTCATAAACAGCGATAATGCATGGCCAGTTTATATGTGGAAAAATTAGTTCTTAGTAATGTGGTCTGGGTACAAAAAGAATTCTCTATGATCAAGGGAGAACTAGAAATTTTGCATTGTAAAATGAAATTCTCTCATGTACTTAAGGTACAAAACTTTTAAAATGGCAGATAATAGCATAGCCTATACTTCATGGGGAGAGAAAAGTGCATGCTATGTTCTGGTTATGGGGACACCATCATTTTGACAGCTGAAATTTCTGATAGAAGTTGGTATAATGTAGATTTTAAAATCCTATTGTGTAGTAATATTTTTAAAACTGTTTTATAGCCTCTTGAGGTTACAACTTCTTAGTGTGCTATAGATTGAATGGTTTGAATGAAATATCCCCTCAGGTCTATTTCCCACTTCCTTAAGTGCATCTCACAGGAAATGTACTCTTACTTGGGCTGAAAAACTGTTCATTTTCTTTACCACAGGATAAGAAGTGGGTCCTCAATCATGAAGATGTCACATTGGGAGAATTACTGGGCAAGGTATGTAATCAACTGAGCTAAATAACCAAAACTCTTCACTGTAGATTGTGAACTCTGTAGATTGTTCATTTTCTTCAAATACTTCTTACATTCCTGCACCCAACAAGGTGCATTCCCACATTAACCTAGAGGAACATGATACCACATCTGTTACAGATACTAGGATGTTCACTGAAATAGATGTGTGAAAAGAAAACCTTTGAAGGTTTAAGGAGGGTTTTTGAATTTTAAAAATAGTGTTGTGTGTTTTCCTCTATATTAAAAGTCATAATTGTATTATTGCAGTGTAGAAAGCCAAAACTAGTGAGCTGAGATTTGAATAGAAACTGTGAGGTAATAAAGGTTTAAATAAACACCTAAATAGTCCTGTTCTATTTGTTTCTGGCTACATATGATAGTTCAGAAAATGTAAAATACTGCTCTTTGGGATTTCAAGATTGGGTATAGAATCACAGTATGTAACAACATTAGCTATATTATTTTCTAAAAATGATATGGACAAGACACACTTCAATGTAAACATTCATATGTAGCTAGCTCTATTAGTTGTCGGAGAGGACAGATGTATATGATAAGAGTCCCTTTCTTCCAATCAAGTTGCAAGTTTCTTCCAGTTCATAGGCTATATGAAAGTAAATTATGTCTAACAATAATGGCAGACATTTTATAATCAAATGGACGGACTATTTGCAAATTTATTATTTTACAGTTGAGTTGCAATGGGTAAATATTAACTTCCTTGTCAATGACTTAATTTGTTATGTTTCCATTTGAAATTTTGAATTCAGTTTAGTTTCTTAATGCAATGTGAGAAACAGTATAAAATCTACCCCTAGGACCAAGGACCTCTTGTGAGGAATGACATAAAAATAGACAGACATGATATTTAGCCTCATGCATGGACTTAAGGTCAGTAGTAGACATGAAGCTGTGCCTGTTAAATGGTAGGGAGTGACAGGAGTCCCAGGCTCCTCCTGACTTCTTTTGACAGAGAACAAGTGTTCTGGGAAGCCTATTCTTTTTCTCAGTGTTTGGAGATTCCTCCCTTGACCACTGTTGACAGATTTGAGAAATCTATCTATCAAATCCTCTGAGTTGTGAATGTTGAGTGAATGTTCAGAATTTTTGAATGCCTGCTAATATGGCCAAGACCTGTTTCACAGAGCATAAACCATTAGAAAAGTACAAAGGGTTGGTCAGTGTTCAGGAATGGGATAAATGATTTTGGGAAGATCAAGAAGTCTTCATGAAGAAGGAGGCTTAAGAAATGAACTTAAAGATTAATTAGCATTTTTTCTGATTGGAGTTGGGGGATGGTTCCCACGGAGGATAAAAATGTAGAAGAGGCATGGCATGTATTTTGGGATCACTAAGAACTTGATGTTAGGATACGCAACCTTGTCATAATCTTTTTAAAATAAATATTTGAGTTGAATATTAGATTTAATAATAATGAATACTATTTATTACTTAAATATTCAAGTATACTTAGTACCTAAGTAAAATAAAAATTTAACAATTAAATAAAGTATTAAGTAATATTTAAAACATACAAAAATATTTTTACTTTTAATAATTTTAAATGATTTATTATCAACATGTAAAAATTTACATTCCTTGAACTATTGGTTAAGAGTTACATTGATCATAGAATTCCAAAGCTCAGTAACTAGCAGACTTCTACATCAGCTACTTCTTGCTCAACAACAATAGCATGGAAGCATGTTATAATATAATCCTTGCATATTATAATTATAACTATAAAATATGTAAGCATACATAGAAAAGCTTGAAGGGAATACTAAAAAATATTTGTTGTGTTAGCCTTGTAACTCATCTCTATAATGTTTTGTGTTTATAATAAAACAAAAATGACTTTAAACTAGAAATTAGGCATTTTAAGTCAAAATACAGTTAGGCATAGAATAAGGTTAGGAGTTCATACCCTTGTCATAGAAATGGCCTCATCACAGGTGACATGGGCATTTGGGTAAGAACCTCATCTTCCTTGGTACCTTCCCTCAGAGAATGACAACCTATAACAATGGCTGCTGCCAGTCCTTCATGGGCCTCAGTTCTGTTGCCTCTCCCTCTTCTCCCACTCTCAGTCTTCCCCAGCTGATAGGACTGTGTGGCTCAGCACCAGTAGTCATGCCACAAAATCTCTGCTTTATCATTAAGCATTAATGGATAATATTTTACATTTAATAAGATGCAGATAATGGGACTAGACTGAATGAAACTTATGTACTTCTGACAGTGTCAATTTGAGTTTCTCCTTTTGTCCTATTTTCTTTTTTATTTTTCCCCATTTTCCTTCTCAGTTGTCCTCCAGCCTCAATCCCCTGAATATTTGTTATGCTGGGTAGTAAATTCAAAATTGGGAGATTGATAAGAGCAACATTCCCAATCTTTATTTCCACTTCAAACTCCGGATAATGCTAACAGAGTACTTTGATTATTCAAAGTGCATCATTACATGCTTTTCTTGTGTTTTGTGAAGATTTATGTGGCTGTCTTACATGTTAAACAATAAACGTATTTGTATTTTCAGGGAAATTTTGGTGAAGTATTTAAGGGCGTATTAAAGGATAAAACTGCTGTTGCTGTTAAAACATGTAAAGAAGATCTTCCTCAGGAACTGAAAATAAAATTTTTACAAGAAGCTAAGTGAGTTCTTTAAAGTTATATAGAATATGTATTTATAATATAAGCAATTCACTAAAATGTAAGTTTGTACATTGTGATTTTCTGAAGTACGAATAAGCACTTTTAGAATCCTCATAAATAACCATTTAACACTATGTGGAAACAAAGTTTCTGTTCTTGAGTTAAACTATACATCAGTTAGGCAACCACAGTCAAAAGAACTTGCTGCTAAAAAACAGTGAGTATTCTTTAAGTTTTTAAAAAATATTGTAATTTTTGCTTTTATCATACATGCATATACATATATATGTGTATATGCAAAGTTGTGATTTTCCTTATAATAAAAATATTACTGTATTCTATATATGTAAGTTATACACTTTATATATATTTAGATATATAATTTCATTTCTTCTACCTTACTCAGATATCATCACTTGATTCTTTTTTCTTGTCTGTTAGTTTTCTTTTCTGAGAACCCCAAATGCCTTCTTTAATTTAGTGTCTGGCATTTGTTCCAAAATTTGCATACTGTTTTGTTTTCTAATCCATCTTCTTAGAGGATTGTCTTCTTTTTCTTATTATTAACTAATTTAATGTTCCAAATTGCTACCCCTGTATTGCGGACAGTTAAAACTATTCTGTTACTGGTAACATCTGGTTTATACAACTAAACACGAACTAAACTGAAAGATGCTTTGGGCAGAGTGAGGACAGACATGGTTGGCAGATGGGTGCGTGGATGGAAGAGGAGGAGAATACATGAATCTATAGGTTGTTGGTGTGAAGGGAGAGAGGAACAAAAGTGTCTGTGTTGGGGGACGTGTGTCTCTGTGATCACTTATAACACAAAATTGAAGTCTTCATGGAGTATCGTGGAGAACAGAGGACATGGCAGTGACAGGACATGGCGACGAGAGAACTAAGTACCATGACATGAAGCATTTTAATGTATTTCTCCATTTATCTAAAAATGACTATTGATGGAATGGAATAAACTAGTGTGATACATTTATTAAATATCTATAGAATAAAGTTGAAAACTTGTTTTATGTATATTGGCAACTCAGAAAAATATACTCTTGATAAATTTAAAGATGTGCAATTACAATTGAAATTCATAGGTTTATTATTTTATAGATATTCACAGGTATTCTTATGGTACAAGTTATATACAACATTTTCAAAAATATTTAATTTTTTGCTTTCTAATTTGATTGTTTTATTGCAAAATAGTTTATTTTCCTCTTCTAAAGTGAGACTATTTTATTTTAAGAATGAAAATTATGTCCATGCAAAACTCATGTCTTTTAATAGATGATAGAGTTATATATTGAGATATTTAATATTAGTGGAGTTCAGGCTGGCTGTTTTATGGAATTTCTTTACTAAGCAGTTTCCAACCTCAGAAATGATATTTTGGATTAAAGTCAAACATTCTAAAACTTCTTTTTAATTCCTTGTAGAAATTGCAAACTCAGTTATTGTTAGGATATTTCCTTCATCTCTAGAATTCTTCCCCATTTATCTTTTCTTTTATAAATCATTCTGTATTTTCAATATAAAACATTTTTCTTAGAGCTATCTCTGCTTTAGTTGTCCATGTACAAAATGTATATAAACTATTTTTTCTTTCTCCAAATAAAGTTTTTTTTTATTCTTTTAGGAATGAAAACTGCATCTTTCAAATATTGAGTGAACTTGTAACTATGTCAACAGGATAATGTGGTTTAAAATTCAGTAATAGAAATCATCAGGGTAGACAGGCCTCTGAGGGAATCTAATCTTGTAACTCAAGTTTAGAGTCCTAAGAATGAGTCTATGCTATTTTGTAGCCCTCTAAAATTTTGACTTATCCAAACTAAATCTTCCTGCTTCAGCTTGATACTGAAACTCTGTGACTCAGCTATTGGTTAACCTTTTGCCAGCTTTCTCAAAACTTTTTTGAGAATTTACTATTTTGAAATTGATTGTGATCATCAAGAAAGTGCTTATTACAAAATCTAATGAAGGGATTACCTTATAGTATTAATGTGAATTAGATTCTTATTTTTATGTATTTAAAATCAAGTGTTTACAGAAAACAAAATAAAACAAAAAGATGCTACTCTTGCAGCATACAGTTTTGAGTTCACTAATACTTTTCAGCTATTGCTTAGGGAGTTCTATGTTTTGGAATAAGTAAATTATTCCTATTTATGATTTTGAATGATTGTTAACAATCATTTTGAATGATTGTTAGTCATTCAAAATGGATAATAGTTTTTAATTGAATTAAGTATACTTGACTCATTTGTACCTATAGCTTGCCAATATTTATCAAAATTTGCTTATATCCCATTTATTATAATTGGGTTCATATTGAAGTTTTAAAAATTGATTGAACAACAATAAAAAAAGAAAGGAAAAGGTTGAATTATATCAGTTAAAGTGTTTTACTTGTGTATATTCTTTATGATCATAAATTAATGCTTTATTATTTAAACAATTATTCTTATACTTTTTCTCATACAGAATTCTCAAGCAATATGATCATCCCAACATTGTCAAGCTTATCGGAGTCTGCACGCAAAGACAGCCCATCTACATCATTATGGAACTGATTCCAGGTAATCTCATTGCAGGGCTTTTTTTCAGTGACATTTCAGTGTTGTGTTTCATTACATTCATATGTTCAGTCTCTTTAATTTCTCCTTGTAAAGTTTCCAAGGATTTTGTTTAACATTTTCCTAATGACAAAGAACTTGTACACATTCTGGATATTTTTATAGTCTATAATAATTTGCTATTTTTAGAAAATGTCAACCAACCTTTTATAAAAGAGAAAATAACTTATAGTACAGTTACACATGGAATTTAGTTTATGTGAAAAAGGCTGTTCAGAAAAATAGCCTACTTTGTTTGATTTTATAACAATGACAAAGTACTATTTTATACATAGTTCATTATGTATTCTAAGTATTGTACATTAACACACATACTTATTTGATGGCATATAATGATCCCAAAGTGCTTTTGGTTACTTATGAACTGTGAACTAATTTTATATGTGTGAACAAAGAAAAAAACTAATGTCTTGGAGTTTGTCTTTGTGTATCTTGTGACTTTTAGCACCTCCAGGCTTTTTGATTAACAATTTTTGCCAACAAACAAGGATAACATGAAACATATAGTGGAATACATTTTCAATTTATTTTCTTTGTGTATGTTCCCATTGTGAAAAATGTAAACAGGTAAAATTTGATCTTTATAAGATTTACAAATATAATAGGTAATAACTGCAAAGATTTGTGTTGTTGCTTTTAATGACTACTCATTTTAAAAGAAGAAACTTTAAGGAATATAAAAATATTTTAATATGCTTTGTACATAATGTATGTATATTTTATTGTATTGACATGTATACACCTGCGAAACCATCACCCCAAAGTAATGAATCCGTCTATCACCCCTAGCTTTTCTCATCCTCTTCTTAGTCCCTTCCTCCTGCCACTCTCTACCCCCTGTCCAGTCAACCACTGATTTTCTTTCTGAAATTATATTTTGATTAGTATTTCTTAGAATTTTATATAAATGGAATTGTACAGTCTCTGTACTCTTTTTTTGTGATTCATTCATGTTATAATGCATATCAATAATTTATTCCTTTTTATTGCTGAATAGAATTGTGTCATATGAATACACCACAGCTTATCCATTTAGATGTTGATAGACTTTGGGATTGTTTTCTCTTTGGGGCTACTACAACTGAAGCTGAGGTGAACATCCATGCACACATCTTCAAATGGACATGTGCTCTCATTTTTCTAGGGAAAATTCCTAGAAGTGGAAAGAATGGATCATATGGAATGCGAGTGTTTAAGACACAGATTTGAAATCTCTAGTACCACAAAATTTATACCTCACATTCTTATAGCATAAAAACTGGGCCAAAACATTAAGTTTAAGAATAATGGACTCATAATTTTATGACATTTTCAAGTTAAGCCATGGTAACAAACTCTTCCCATTCTCTAGTTTTTTATTTTCCTATCATGATGGTCCTATGCACTCTTTCCCTTTCTCATCAATGAAGACATCAGATGTGAAAACATCAACCATCAAAACAGCATAAAAGTCTTGTAAAAAATATTTCCACTACAAGATGAAAAGCTGATATGTATACTAACCCTGGGATTTAACCCACGTGTGCAAGGCTAGTTTCAACATTTAAAAAGATATTAGTGTAATACATCACATCAACAAGGTAAAAAAGAAAAATCACATGATTATATCATGTTGCAGTAAAAGCATTTGACAAAATCTAACGTTCATTCATGATGAAAAAAAAATCCTTAGTAAATGAAGAATGGGGAGAACTTCCTCAACTTGAGATATATATTATGTGTGTGTGTATATATGCATTGTGTGTATGTATATGTATGTATTCATATGCATAGATGTACATATACATAGATGCATGTGTGTGTGTATATACATACACATACACACACACACACTCTTTATAGCTAATATCACACTTAATGGTAAGAAACTCGAAGCTTTCCCAATAAGATCAAGAACAAAGCAAGGATGTTCCTCCCACCATTGTTTCAACATCACACTGCAAGTCCTAGCTAATGCAATAAGACAAGAAAAGGAAACAAAAGGTATATTGACTGGGAAGGAAGAAATAAAACTGTCTTTATTCATAGAAGGCAGTTTGGCAGTTTCTTAGAAAACTAAATATACTCTTATTAAACATACTAACATACAATTTATTAATCACACTCTTTAATATTTACCCAAATGAGTTGAAATTCATGTCCACAAAAAAAATTTGCACATGGATATTTGTAGCAGCTTTGTTCATAATGCCAAAACTTGGAAACAACTAAAATGTCTTGTACTAGCTAAGTGGATAAATAATCTGTGGTACATCCAAACGATAGAATATTATTCATTGCTAAAATAAAATAGTCCATGAAAAGTCATAGAGGAAAAACCTAGATGCGTATTACTAATTGAACAAAGCCAATCAGAAAAGACTTCATAGCCTATGATTCCCATATTGGCATTCTGGAAAAGGGGAAACTGGAGATAATTAAAAGTTTGGTGCTTATCAGCAATTAAGGAGGGATAAGTAGGCAGAACAAGAGGATTTTTAGGATCGTGAAACTACTATATATGATATAATAATAAATAAATGTCATTTCACCTTTGTCCATACCAATATCATGCACAACACCAAGAGTGACCCCCAATGTAAACTATAGACTTTGGGTGATAATAAAGTGTCGATGTAGACTCGTCGCTTGTAACAAATGTACCATTCTGGTGGAGGATGATGGTAAATGGAGGAGGCTGTGCTGTCTGGGGAAGAGCTTATAGGGGAAATATCTGTATGTTCTTTACATTTTTGTAAACAAAAACTGCACTCAAATCTTTAAAAAATTTTAAAACAATAGAAATTAAATACACTTTGATCTCTGTCATTTCTCCATTCACTTACCTCCTCCCTCCCTCCCATTTCAACCTTCAGTGACATATCTGTATGGTCAATGAAAGTCTCTAGTGTAGAGGGTAGTGATGGAGATCTGGAACTCTAGTAAGTGTTGGTGAAGATGTGGAAAAACCAGAGCCTCCCACCACTTTGGAAAAGCTTTGCATTTCTCAAAATGTTATACACTTATCCATAAATTTTCCATTTAAACTAAGAGTTCTGATCCTAGGTATTTACCCAAGAAAATAAAAAAATCTATCACTACAGAAAGCTGTATGCAGGTGTTAATAGCAGCATTATTTGTAATAGCTTCAAAATGGAAACAACCAAAATGTCTATTAACTGATGAGTGGATAAACAATGTAGTGTATTTATGTAATAGATACTGTTAAGCAATAAAGTAAATGATCTAATAAATGCTACAGTATAGATGAACCTCAAAAACCTTATGCTAATTAAGCAAGTCTAGTACAAAAGACACTATGTTGTATGATTCTGTTTCTATGAAATGCCCAGAAAAGACACCTACAGATAAAGCAGATTTGTGGTTTCCTGGAGCTGGGGGTTTGGATGGGGTTGACTGTAAAAGCATGAGGGATCTTTTTGGACTGATGAAAATGTTCTCAACTGGATTACAGTCATGGTTGCACACCTCTGTAAACTTGTCAAAACTCATAGAATCGTACATGAAGATGAATACATTTTATGTATGTAAACTGAGCTTCAGTATAGGTGTTAAAGGCCCAGGGTGTGGCTCCATTTGTTGGGCATCATCCAGCAAAGTGCAAGATTCCCAGTTAGTGTGCCACCTAGGTTGCTGGTTCAGCCCTGGTCAGGGTGGGTATGAGAGGCATTCGATCGATCTTTTTCACATTGATGTTTTTCTTTTTCTCCCTGCCTTCCCCTCTCTCTAAAACAAAATTACATATATATATATATATATATATATATATATATATATGATATATGATATATGATATATGAATATATACAGGGAACAAAGGCCTAAGGACCATTCAGTCTTGGCTGAAAGCTTGGCACAGCCTCTTATAAATTGTGTTATCTTGCTCAACTTACTTGACCCTTCTGTGCCTTAGTTTCCTCCCCTGTAAAGTAAGAATAATTGAGTTGTTTTAAGGACTAATGTACTGTGATTATATGCAAATATATATTATGTCTATATATCTAAAGATATTTATATAAAACATATCTCTTAGAGTATTTGATAGAAAACCATTTTATGTGTTCTCATAATCATCATGTTTATTTTATAATTGTCAAAGAGAAAAAAGTAACTTCTTAAAATGCTATAATCCAGTGAGAACTGTAACTCAAACTCCAAATCTGCCCCTAACTCTAATCCTACCCCTTAATTTCTCTAGCCAAGAATGACCTGAGAACAAACTGGGAAGTATAATATTTGTCTTTAGTTCTTCCCATTCCACCATCATTTGTGACCGCTTTGTTTGTATGTTTTAATGTTGGATTGGCCAAGTTTGTTACATTTTTTCCATAGAATAAAAGACACATTTTTCATTTTCACCAATTTTATTGTTTTGGATATTTTGAGTCTGTCCCTATCTCCCACTATTGGCTTCTAGTGGGTAGAGGCCAGGGTGCTGCTGAACATCTTCCAGTGCATAGGATAGCCCCACAGCAAAGAATTACTTGGCCAAAATGTCAATACACCAAGAAACTTCACAAACCACTTTTGACATGTTCGATCAGTCATAGCACCTTCTCCATACACTGCACAAATCTTTTTTTGCTTTTCAGTTGAGTTTTTACCTTTCTTGAAATAATAAAGCATAATATGCTAAAAATGTGTATTTTCTTCCATCTGCAATACTAAAATGGCCACACAAAAATTCACCCATTTTGATGGTATTTTTTAAAGTGCATGCTGCTATAGCAGCTGTCACAATACAATCTAAAAATTGTTTTGAATGAAGTTGAAGACAACTAGGCACTACTAGAGCTATTATACAGAAAAAAACTTAATGGACTTTTCGGTCAACCTAATATTTAGCCTTCAGTGATTTTTCTGTCCTGATAAGTAGAACTAAAGTGACTAGATTAAATGGCCTCTGAATTTTAGCTCTAACCTATAATATTTTAGTTGTTAGA